CTTGGGGCCTGAACTCTGGGCCTGGGCGCTGTCCCTCAGCTCTTCAGCTCAAGGCTAGCACTCTACCACTTGAGCCACAGAGCCACTTCCGGCTTTTTTCTTTGCTTATGTGGTGCTGAGGAATGGAACCCAGGGCCTCAGGCATGCAAGGCAAGCGCTCTACCACTGAGCCACCTTCCCAGCCCTCCAAGATATCTTATTATCTACATGAGGATATCTAAAATCTAAAAAATCTCTGAAATCTGAAACACTCCTTTTCTGGTTTCAATAATTTTGAATGAGGGGCCACCAAACCTGTCTGTCTTCAACCCCGAGGCCAGCGTTAATGAACCCTTATACCTAGAGCCTGTCACTACCCCTCTTCCCAGGAAAGGTAATGGTGGTAACTGTGTAGGAGAGCACATAATTATGCCACTCTGTAGCTAAACATCTGTAGTTAATAAGTGAAACAAAGGTATATAGGTTTCCATTTTAAAAAGAGACTGTAACAATTTTCTAAATAATATTACAGCTTTAGTTTCTTTTCTTTTCACCATCTTCAAATTTTATCAATGGGTACCTCTTTGCTAGCTGTTTGAACTTTAATCTGTCCCAACACTACTTATTTTACTTTATTTCCTTTTCTACCTTATTTCCATTTCCAACAGTGTTAATAAATACAAAATTCAATTATATAACCCATATATATATGCACCTATTTTATTATTTATAACTATATTTACAAAAGGAATGAAACTAAGATTCATGTTTAATTCCACAGAAGAGCCAAAGTTGGATAAGATTCAAGACAGTTCCTTGTAGAAATGAACACTTAAAACTGCTACTTGCAGACAAAAGTTACTGCCCTGGGGAGATCCCATGTTTCCATTCTTTAAACACACAAGCCCAGCCTAAAATAGGAGGAGAGCAGCAGTTCCACATTGCTCCAGATGGTTGCACTAGAGAGCTTCCAGGCTTAGGACCTGGAGATCAGCTTGCTGTCATTTCCATAGTCCATGCTACACAGCCTCAGGATTCACCAGCCCTGTTCTGCACAGAAACACAGAAGGACACTGACCAGTGCACAAGAACTTCATGTAAAGATGGCAATGGGACAGTATCATTTTTTTCTAATGGGTCAGTAAAATTCCATTGTGTATATGCACGATGTGTTTTTGATCCATTTAAGTCAAGTAAGTCAGACCCAGAGAGAAAAGGGATCCATGTTTTCCTGTCTGTATGGAAGCTAGATTTAGTTTACAAACTCATAAGTAAATACATCAGGTAGGATGCAGACATATACAAATGTACTAACTGAAATACGGCAGATTCAAGGAAGATCTCAAATAGTGTAGTTCCACAGAAAGCCAAAATCAGAGCTCAGCAAAAAGTACCACCAGGAAGCAGGTACTTGAAAGGGGTGGAGTCATGCAGAAAATGGTAGATGAATGAAGAGGAGACGGGGGAGAGAGGAAATGCAGACAAGAATCCAATGTACATCCTACAAAATTAAGAGGGGAAAGGTGGGTAGAGGAGGAATGGGTGAGAATGTTGAAAGGGGTGATGTAATCAAGATATATCCATAAACTGCTTTGTTAAATGGCAACTCCATTGTACAACTACCGAAAGAGAGAGGTAGGTAGGTAGGTAGACAGACAGACAGACAGACAGACAGACAGACAGACAGACAGACAGACAGACAGACAGACAGACAGACAGACAGAGGCAATGAATCAGACTAATGGGAGAATTTCCAAGATTGAAAGGTTCTTGGCTCCACAGATTCTTATCTTCTGATAGAATGCTGACTCTTAACATTATCGCAATGTGTCAATTTGTTCCTCCAATGCACCTGAACATGGGAAGTGTGGAAAAGAAGAAGGGAAACATGGAAATAGTGAAGGGGTGGAGGGCTACAAATAAATCTATGGCCTTTTTCACAGACTGTGTGTCCCTGGCCAGGAAACATAAAATGAAGTAAGTTAAGCACTGACATGAATTCCTGGGTCCTCACTCTACCTTAAACTCCCAAAGACACAATGCCATTGTTCCTCCAAGTTTACCTGCTATTGTGGTACAGTAGGCAAGAAGAAATGTAGTATTATAAGCAGATTGAAAACAGTAGAGGATATCTAAAATGTTGGTATTGTTTGTTCTATCTATCTATCTATCTACACACACATACACATGTGTATGTGTATATGTGAGTGTGTACATATAGGTATATGTATATATGCGTAAGTATAATATACTCAGTCACATCCAAGAGACACACTGAGTTCTCAAATATTCAGAATCTGTTTCTACTTAACAGCAAAGAAAAGTCAAATAATAGCATAAATCTACCATAAGTTTCTTTGGGGTATAAAAAATTTCAAATGATTATAACTATGATTAAAATATCACGACAATTATCCACATTTCAAAGGGACCAAAGGAAGGTAACATCTTCAAGGTTTAGCTTATTTTACTAAAATTAGTAGAAACAAAGAGTAAGATCACTTTTGTGTAATTATTAATTAAAATAAACACTAGTTCATCACTGTTCCACTCCCAAAGTAATAGACAAAAAGAATTTTTTTTACCTCATATTTGGAGCAAAGTACAAAAGTTTGGTCTCCTCCGGAGAAGATCTGCTTAACAATATGGTATTTAAATCGATCTGCCAAAAAATTCCAAACAGCATATTTTTCGTGATTGAAGTTTCTCCTTGAACCACTTTTCTAATATTCCAAAATACACTTCCGAGTGGCTTCTCAGCCATTTTAATTACGTTAGAGAAGACACCTTCTTTCTTGGCTCACCGCCCAGTACCGCTTCAGTTAAAATTAAATGTCTAAAATGGGATCCTGCAGTCCACCTCTACCCTCTACACCTCCCTCACGGCTAGCTACTTCTGACCTTGTTTCTGTTTTTCATGTTCTCAAGCCACTTACCTTAAATCTAAAGCGAGCACTACAACAAACGGTAGCCCACACTAGCGAATCGCTGCACCTCTGAGAGAGCTATCCCCCAGTCCCTTCAGGAAGAAGCCACTGCAGTGCAAGGTCCTCTAGCTCCTGCTCATGCACGCATGTCCACACTCTAACTCCACCACACTGCCTTATTTCTAATACCTCACACTCCCAGTATCTCCATGCCTGTCTCCTCTGCCCCAGCACACAGTGCATTCTCTCCATCTTCCTCGGTGTCTCTGATGACGGAAGATGACTACCAGATGCTCCATGGCACTACTACGGTGCTCCCTCACAGTCCTATACCTGGCTGACTACAAACCACGCTGCCAGACTTCGTTCACACTTCCTCTAACTGCAACACTCCCATGCTCCCCCTTCTCTAGGAAGGTTCCTGAAACCACAGCATCTATGGAATAATCTGAAAAGACAGACATTCACAGAAAGGACACCAATTGTTCCTCTGCTTTGGGGATTGTCATCAAAACAAAACCATTTTCAACTCTGCTATATTTTCAGATACCACATACTATTCATTCCAGAAATATTCACTTGTTGACAAGGTTATGCCAGGCTCTGTGCTATATGCTGGGCAGATGTAGGTTAAGAGATAGCGGAGCATAGTGGTAAATGTTTATAATCCTAGCTACTCAGAAGACAGAGGCAAGAGAATCTCAAGTTTCAGGGGAAAGTACTGAGACTCTCAAAAATAAAACCAAAAAGGAAAGGGGGGCTTGAGCATGGCTCAAATGACAAAGCATTTGCCTAATTTGTTGGAGAGCCTAGTTCAACCCCCAGTAACACACATACACATTATAATCTATAATTGGGAATTTAATGTTGTAATTTTTTTAATCTTGATCAAGACTTAAATTTGTTAATTGACTTAAGTGTGTTAATTACTAGACTTCAAAATCAAAATCAATTAAATCGTACTTCCTTTTAATAACTTTCTAGTCTATTTCAGCTTTACAATGTATTATTAGAAAGATGAGGGAGTTACTCAATGAATGACTGTCTTACTTTGATTTCCAATGAAACCAAATCTGCTTTCCAATATTTCTAAGAGGGGCTGGGAAGGTGGCTCAGTGGTAGAGTGCTCGCTTTGCATGCATGATGTCCTGGGTTCAATTCCTCAGCACCACGTAAGCAGAAAAAGCCAGAAGTGGTGCTGTGGCTCACGTGATAGAGCGTGAGCCTTGAGCTGAAGAGCTGAGGAACAGCACCCAGGCCCAGAGTTCAGGCCCCACGACCAACCAAAAAAAAAAAAATGAATCTTTTAAAAAAATATTTTTAAGGGAAGAAAAAAATAGCATTAAAAGAAAATCATAAGTTGAATGAACATGGATGGATCACATCTATAATCCTAGCTACCCAAGAGGCCCAAGATCTGAAGATCATGGTTAGAAGCCAATCCAAGCAGGAAAGTCTGTGAGTTATCTTCAATTAACCACCAAAAAGCCAAAAGTAGAGCTGTGCTCAAATGGTAGAGCACCTTCCTTGAACAAAATAGCTGAGGGACAACACCCAGGGCCTGAGTTGAAGCCCCAGGATCAGCCCAAAAAGAAAAATCACATCATGTCATGACCAAAACATCTTCATCAACGTGTAAGAAGAGTACAGGCTACTTCCTAGGTAGACCTGGCTACTAGCCTTGCCCTAGAATCTCTGTTACCCTGGAAAAGTTACCTAACTCCTTAAGGCTATATGACAACCACCAGCAGCTGGTTTGTGTTGACTGAGTAGTAGGGTAATATTAGCAACAACAACAACAATAATAATATGCATCTAGATAGACAGACAGATAGATAGATAGATATTATCAAGGTCTTGGGTGCTAACATTTTATGCTTTATTTACCCTGTAGACCTGACCTGAACCTCCACCACAGAGCTTCATGCAAAGTACTCAAATATTTGTGGATTCCTATTTAAAAAGAAAAAGAACTCATATTCACCCTCCAAAAACTTCAAAGACTTCAAAGCAAATTACATAACCAAACTGTGTTCCCGTTTTTCATATAATTAAATGCCAGTGCAAATCACTCTTACCAGCTCGGGCTGAAAGCTGGCCGCTGTGCGCAGCCCAGTGCCCCTTCACAGGAGACGGGCACTTCACGTTACAATTGTGTCCAGTTCCCAGCTGGCCTCTTGCTCCACAGCCAAATGCATAGATGAGTCCGGAAGAAGGCACGAAGGCTAGGGTGTGTTGTCTGTGGAACAGTAAATGAACGCACTGGTATCAGACTGGGTGTACACTCAGATTCTGTTAAAAGCCACTTGACAGCACAGCCATTCCTGAGTGACCTGTCCTCCTCTGGCATGCACGCGGAAGAGCTGAGCAGCCTGCTGCTTTGGGACTTTAGGAAGAAAGAGAAGAAGCGGGGGAGGCCCAGGGGAAACTTCTAAGAGACAAAATTTCTGCAAAGTTCTAGAGGACCCCTCCACTTTCTGTTCTTTATTTCTTCCCTATATCCTGCTACTCCTTAGGCCAAAGAAGCCTAATAGTGCCTTGCCTTGTTAATCTGCCTATCTAAACTCTTCCCTGCCACGACCTACCAAGACCTGGCTCCCTCCAAATTTCACCAGAGTTTGTGCATGCAGTTAAGATTTCTTCAGAAGTCAGCGGTCAGATGCACCCATATTCTCCATCACTCCAAAGACAAGATCCTCGTCTGGGTCTCAGTAGGGTACTAAGAAGCCCTGAGGAGCACTCACCGGCCACAGGCAATCTGAGTAACTTCACTGCCCATCAGCTCTAGAACTCTTCTGGGATTCACCTCATCATTCATGGAGTCATGTCCGAGCTGCCCACAGTATCCAGCACCAAAGGTAAACACACCTCCACTCTAACAAAGAGCAAGCTCCGTGAGACTTCACTGTGTTCTCAGTTTAGGACACTCCTGTAAGACCTATGTACAAGGCTCTCGCCACAACAGTCAGTTCAGGACACTACACTCATCAGATACTTGGCTGAAATCACTTCCTGAGAACATTCGTTTAAAAATAGAGAAAGAATAAAAAGAGTATTTAAGACTGTTGTCTTTAAAGATAACTGTCCCCTTGTGAAGTTTAAAAATCATTTAGAAGTAAAATGATGTGATAGGAGGCAAACATTTTTAAGGAAAAACAAAGACATGAAATGAAATCAATTTGCATGATCACTGACATATAAAAAATCGACTGCTCTACAAACCTTTTGGTAAGATTTGTTTTAAAGTTGTAGTTGGAACAAATGCTGAGATATTTTATTAAAGCAAATGTATGATAGTATTTGTTCACTACGAGAGTATAAATTCGTTTTTTAGAATGTGGCTGTGTTTAGAAGTTGAAGAAATAGGCTAATAATGTTAAAAATTAATTATTTCTTTTATATATTTAAAGGGATTATTTTAAAAGACCATAGGATACTGACTTACTGTTTTATTTATACTGAATTATTTTAAATATTACTAAGACCATTTACAAGATTACAAAGAGGAAAACACAAATAAGCCAGTCATTTTCTATTCCTTTAAAAACAATCAAACTAAAGCTAAAGAGAACATTCAAGTTCAAGCCACAATAATGTAACTGAACACGATCTGTACCCTACTAGAACAATCAATGGTTACAATTACCCATCTCATACCTGCACCAGAATTCTCTGAGCCCCTTACCTTTGTGAGGACGGCTGTGTGTTCTTCTCCACAACTAATATAGACAACCTTCTGTGTTCGTAAGAGTTTCACATGGCACGGGGACTCTCGATCTAGAATAAATGAAGGAGCAGAACGTTACTACCATTGACCTTTGGGACAAAACACAAACAACTATCTATCTTAGCATGAGTTTTCCCAACATGTTCTCAGTTTTCTGCCTGTGTCTTGACTTAGATGTCCAACGGATCTTCAATCTTAATATATTCAAAACTGAAATCTCCACACTCAACTCTGCTCACTTTCCAACTTCCAGCTCTTGCTCCAAACCATACATTCAAAAATGAGCAAAACCAACTGACCTCGTCTTAAACATTGAACCAAAATCTGGCTTTACTCCCACTACCGTTACACTAATCTCTCCTCACTTTTTTAAAACTAGATTTTGTTTTTGTGTTTTTGAGACAGGATCTCACTATACAGCCCAGTCTGGGTCTGCACTCATTATATAGCTCAGACTGCCATTGAACTCCCAGCCTCAGCCTCCTGAGTGCTGGGATTATGGACACGCCCCACTTCACTAGCTGATCTTCCCCCTTGACCTTCCATAACTAGTTAATCCTCTCCAGGTTACCCCTCTCCTCAAAAACACTCAGTGCGGCTCTAGGACACAGAAAGCTGAAATCCTCACCCTGCCCTATGGGGCCCTTGGTAACAGGCAACACGGCTTCCCCAACCTCCAGCTCTGCTCCAACCCCCTCTCTCCGCTCCCTCCACCCCACCCACCTTCCCAAATCACAGCTTTTACACTAGAACATTCTTTACCCAGATACCAACAAGTGCCACTTTCTACAGGGCTCTATTCAATCAGGTTCTTGTCCTATGTTAAAACAGGAACTCTGTGACATAGGATCAATTTACTCCTCTGTTGTTCATACCAACCCACTGGAATAGTCTCCACTAAGCCATGATGTTGTTTCGTCCGCTGCAATACCTCCAGTCCTCACCAGGGGGCAGCCACACATAGAAGATCCTCAAGAGGCATTTGATAAACAGATAGATGTGCTTTTGAACTAAAGAAGGCACAGAAATAATTCACCTACCTTTTTTATCACTGAGCCCTAGCTGCCCTGCATTATTCATCCCCCAGCCAAAAACGGCTCCTGAGAGAGACAGGGCAAAGCTGTGAGCCCCTCCGGCAGCCACCTGTGCCAGCGGGATCCCCTCCAGGGAGCGCACCCTCTGGGGGCTGGCTTGGGAGGGGAACTCCTTTCCTAGACCCAGCTGCCCGTGGCTGTTCTTGCCCCAGGTGAAGAACTGGCCATCTGAAATGATAACAGGGTAACTGGTATTACAAAACATAGTAACAGGTTCCATGCACACAAGTAACAGAGCTAGCTGGCCATCTGTGAGCTGCCCTAATACGCAGCAAATCCACCCAAGAGAAAAGGAGAATACACAGTTCATGCTACAAAACTGCTAAAGCCAAAATCTCTACTTGACATGACAGCAGAGAAATAAACCAAGTCTTGCTGACCTTCAGAGGAGACTGACACTCCAAGAACATATTAAAGGTTTAAGTAAATTCTATTTTTAACAGGCTAATTACCAGGCTTAGATGGACTAACCCTTAATAATTAGCTTGAACTATTCTGGTACTCTAAGACCAGGAGATTCAGGATTTCAGATCTGGACGACTCTGAAGATGACTGACAAGGACATGTAAGTACACATTTATTCTTACAGAGGACAGTATGATTTGCTGCTTACATTTCTCTAACTCATGCTTTCACAGTAATCTAGAAGCTTAATGGTAGAAGGCAGACTGAGAGTAGGTTGTAGCTTTTTTTTTTAATCTAAGCCATGAAATGGTGGCTCATGCCTATAATCTTAGCTACTTGGGAGGCTGAGATTAGAAGGATCACAGTTCCAGGCTAACCTGGGCATATGTGCTAGACAGAATCCTCTATCAAAATCTGGGCACAGTCGCTAACACTGGTCACCCTAGGAAGTGGGAAGAGGGTCAAAGTTACAGGTTCCAGCTTCAGCAGAAAAGTCTGGTAGAACAAGCTGGGCATGGTGGTATGTGCCTGCCATCCTAGCTACAGTAAGAGGCTAAAAATAGGAGGATCAAGGTGTAGACATACTCTCAGGCATAAAAGTGAGGCAATACCTTGAAAATAATCCATGTGAAAGGGGCTGGAGGCTCAGCTCAGTGGCAGAGCACTTATGTAGAAGACTGAAGGCCCTGTACTACACCAAAACAAACTCTAGCTGGGTCTAGTGGCCGACATCTGTGATGCTAGTTACTTGGGAGGCTGAGATTGAAGGAAGATAATAGTTCAAAGACAGTCCAGGCAACAAGTTCACAAGACCCTCTTTTAACCAAGAGCTTGAAGGGGTAGAACATGCATGCCATCTCAACGATGGTAAGAAGGGAAAATAGGAGGATAGCAGTCCAGGTCCCCTCCCCTCCCCCCAGTCAACAAGCAAGGGCCTACATTAAAAATAACCAGAGCAAAGGGGACTTGGAGGCTCTGGCTCATGCAGTTGAGTGGCTGCCTAGCAAGCACAAGGCCCTGACTTCAAACTCCAGTACTACCACTAAACAAAACAACAAACTTCTCAAGAACAATACAAAAACTTGCTCAAGAACACCTAGGTACAGTCCTGCCTCTTGTTCATCTTCCCCTGTGAGACCAAGAGCAGCAAGAATAATGGCTTCTATTATCCATGCAAAGGACCTCTGAGAACTGTCACTGTCCAAAAGCCAAGTCAAGCATTCAAGTTCGACAACACAAAACTGGAATGGTCTCAAAATCAACTTAATAGTTCTACATATTTAATGTTACTTTACCAGCTGCAAGAGCCAAACAATGCCAGTTGCCACAGGAAACTTGTAATATGGTCTGCTGGTTCAGCTTCTGTATTAACCTGAAACAGAAGAGGCTTTCTTAAAAAGGGCACATTTGCCAGAAGTAGTACCAATTAACTCAAACATTTCTAGTAAATTATTTCTACACATCACCTAGTCTTAAAAAGACTTGCAAATATCTACATGATACAATTCTATTAGGACTTTGGCTAGCCTCCTCTTAGCTATTTCCTCTTTTCTTCCTCCAGTACTGGGGGTTTGAACTCAAGGGCTCAGGCTTGCTTGGCCAGCACTCTATCACTTGAGCCATGCCTCCAGTCTAGTCTTTTCTGGTTATTTTGGAGATGGGCTCTCTTGGACTTTCCTATCTAGGCTGGCTTAGAACTATGACCCTCAGATTTCAACCTCCCCAGTAGCTAGGTATGCGCCACCAATGCTCTGTGTACTTATTCTTCAAAAACGAAAAACACTCCTGCACCTTTGATGCACTACCAGTCCCATCATTCCTGGTTCAAGAAGGGATATGATCACATACAATTCCTGAAATCCGTGGAATCTATGAACTAATGTCTTTATGTATGACAATGAGCTAGTTAATGGCTGACAGCCACACACACACACACATCAGGATAGGGCAGATTACGAGAAAGATCTAGACAGGATTAATGGGCTGGGAGGTTCATTCCCAACCCTCACCTTCTGGGGAGGGGAAGAGGAGGCTGAAGGTTAAGTTGATCATCAATGACACAGAGGCAGCAACCTAAAAGGACAGGGCTTGGGAACTTGTGGGTGGCATGTCTACAGAGGGCATGGTGATTCCTCAGCCTGTGTGTCTCTTCACTCACATCCGATATAATAAACATGGAAAGCTAAGTGTTCTCGGGGCTAGAGACATGGCTTAGTGGTTGAGTGCTTGCCTAGGATGCATGAAGCCCTGGGTTTGATTCCTCAGTACCACATACACAGAAAAAGCTGGGAGGGGCGCTGTGGCTCAAGTGGTAGAGTGTTAGCTTTGAGCAAAAGGTCAGGGATAGTGCCCAGGCCCTGAGTTCAAACCCCAGGACTGGCCCAAAAAAAATATCTAAGTGAGTTCTATGACCCGCCTGAATTAGGCCAATCACAGGAGGTGGTTTGGGTACCTCTGTTCATATAGAATCACTAGCAAAACAACTGACATTTATGAATGGCACCTAAGCCGAGGACAGGGTGGGGTCCAACACTACCTCCAGGGACAAAGTATGAGAATGAGACTGAATTAGCAGATAGCAGCCCATCTCTGTTCTTGCAGAATTACTTGCTGCAGAAGTCCTCTCCCACCCCCCAGAGTTCAGAAGTCTGTGCTGATTGTGACATGAGAGTCAGAAAAGAAAAGACATTATGTTTTTCCAAGATACATAGAGAGATAAATGGATAAAGCTACAGAAGTACTATGGTTCAAAACATGGCTGGCACCTAAATGCCTCCATGTGGCAATTTTACTTCTGGGTATTTAACCAAAAGGAGAGGAAGGATCGTTCCAAGGAGATACCTGAACGCTCATATTCGTAACACCATGACCCCTACTACCCAAAAGATGGCTGAGCAAAGCCTGGTTGAGGCATACCGGATTAATAGCACTTCACTCAATACGCCTTAGGTACTGTGTCTTTCACAGACTGACTGAAGGTATGGGCTAAGCCCACATTGAGAAAGTCTACTCATGCCATTTTTCCAGCAGCTCAGATGATAATTCGTATTTTTTAGCAATAAAGTATTTTTTGGATGCTAGTACTAATGCTAGAACTCAGGGCCTGGGTGCCTTCCCTTACCTTTTTGCTCAAGGCTGGCGCTCTACCACTGGAGCCCCAGCTCCACTTTCAGTTTGTTTTGTAGTTAACTGGAGATAAGTGGTCCCCCATGGCTGACTTGAACCATGGTCCACAGAGCTTAGCCTCCAGACGAGGCAGGATTTCAGTCATGAGATAGCGGTGTCCAGCCTCAATGAGGATTTTAATAGTGAAGGCATGTTTGTGGTCTGCTGTCGTGTTGTTTCAATGGTGCTGGGGATCACACCAGAGGTCACGCAGTCTACCACAAGTCACAGCCCCAGCCATGTATGATTCAGGATCCACCACCACCACCAAGCCTCTTCCTGTTGCATTATTGTGACCACTCCCTTCCCTCAGCCCCACCCCTAGCCTATTATCTTCATTCCTCCACAGAAATGTAATCATACAGTACATAATCTTTTGAGACTGATTTTTCTTACTCAGAATAATACTCAGAATTCACCAATTTGTTTGTAAATCAACTGTTTACAGAAACCCACTGTGTGTGTGTGTGTGTGTGTGTGTGTGTGTGTGTGTGTGTTCGCAAGTGCACAAGCACTCATAAGTGCTAGTACTCAGGACCTGTGTGGTGTCCCTTAGCTCTTTCACTCAAGATTGGTGTTCTACCACTTGAGCCACTTCCAGCTTTTTAGTGGTTAACTGGAGATAAAATTCTCACAGACTTTTCTCAGATCTCAGCCTCCTGAGTAGCTAGCTACTATTGTTTTTAAAACTTGGACAAATGTATCACTACCAGGGGGAAGCAATATTTTAGGAGTTGCTATGTAGTAAAACCCCTCCTTGTTGTCTATTTTTCATTCAAATTCACAACATGACTCTTCATAATCACTATTACAGAAAGGAATTAGGTCCAAAGGACAAAAGATAAGTAATATAGGAACTGTACACTAAGAGAGAGAGGGAATCTACACAGTACAAACACTTCCTGAGTGTTACCTATTCATCTCATTCTGCCTTCCCACTGGTCAATACAGTTCAACAACTTACCAAGGGTCATTTGCCTTGTATTAAGCCAGTATTAGCAGACAAGGCTGTTCAACTTCACAGCTAGTACTTTCCACAGCACAAAATTATTAGTGAATGTACTTAAATTAAGTTACAATGCAAAATTATGCATAAGAGTCATTCATAATTTAGACATGACATAATTTGGAATGAACCTTAACTTATTACTCTAACTTATTAACTCATTTTTAGAAGGAAAATGTTTTGAAAAACTGAGTCTCTGGCCATCAATAAATCAAATGTTTGTCATTAACATCATGCGTTTGTTTCCCTTGTATTACACACATGTAATTAAAATAGAGTGCCCCTCTATTCTCATTGTCATTCTCCCTGCCCCACCCCCCACGAATTGAATTAATTTTTGGAATAAATGAGACTTAAGGTATTACCTATTTTAGACCAGGAAATTAAACCAAATCACTCTTAACCTCCATGTTCCTCTTTGGTTAAAACAGTAAAAATTTCAGAAGAGAAAGAAAGAGGCATACACTGTCTTTTAAAGGTAATGATAAGTGGGAGAGAAAGAGGCATTCATTAAACAAAGTTGTACTGAACAGTGCAGGGGCCAGGCACTTAGTAACAAGCCACATGAGAATGAACACTCACATTCTGCCATCTCTAGAGCTCACAGCTTTGAACTAGAAATAGCATTAAAGAAACAATCACATGGCATATGACAAGCACTAATACAAAGGGGTATGAGACTTTCATAAAACAAAAGAATGAGAAGGAAATGAAGGAAATAAACTGATTGACTCTTTGATCACTAGGAACCCACAACAAAGTGAGACACCATACTCAAAAAGCCCAGCTGTAAAATCAAGAGCTCTAATAACAACAGATGCTGGAGGGGATGTGGACAGAAGGGAACCCTACTGCACTGTTGGTGGGAGTGTAAACTTGTTCAACCACTTTGGAAAGCAGTATGGAGCCCCTATGACCCAGCAATCCCACTTTTGGGCATTTACCCAAATGTTCACAAACAAGACCACACTAAAGCTACCAGCACAACAATGTTTATTGCAGCATTATTTACCTTAGCTAAGATATGGAACCAACCCAGATGCCCCTCAGTAGATGAATGGATCAAGAAAATGTGGCATATATACACAATGGAATTCTATGCCTCCATCAAAAAGAATGACATTGCCCCATTTGTTAGGAAACAGAAAGGTGTGGAAAAAATAATACTAAGTGAAGTAAGCCAGGCCCAAAGAAACATAGGTCCCATGGTTTCCCTTATTTGCAATATCTAGTATATGTCTGAGTCAAGCAGAAAAGGTCAGATAAGTTGATGTTAGGGAAATGAACTCTAAAATATGTATTCAAATGTTTTTTTTCTTTCATGCGATTGCTTCTAACACATTTATAAGATTATTTCTTTGTTGCTTTGTATGTCCCTCCCCCACAATATAACCCCTGCTTTCACTGTATTTGATGTCGGTATAATTTGTGGAGGGGAAGGAGAAAAACAAATCGTTTAAATAGGGATACCGGTGGACCCATTGCAACAATGAGATATGCAAGTTGTTATGTCGAAAACGAACTTTACAACTTTGGTGTGTGGGGGGGGCGGGGAGGATTGGGTAGGGAGATGGGGGGGGAGGCTGGGAAGGGATGGGAAGGGGAAACAAAGGAGGAGGCTACAATGCTTGATAAGAAATGTACTCATTATCTTGCCCATGTCATTGTAACCCCTCTATACAGTATTTTCACAATTAAAAATAGTAATAATTTTTTTAAAAGCCCCGCTGAAGGTAATTTCAATATTTTGGGTGTTTTCTTAATGATGAAGCATCTATTATTAGCTTTTAGCTAAATCATCTAAGATGTAGAAGTTTATTAGAAGTAAATTCAGAACAGCCATATTGGTATTTTTGTATTAAAGAACCTATATTTGGTGTTTCAGCTATTTATAATGCATAAGATAATTTGGCATGGTATCAGAGTCAGCATTATGATTGAACTTTGTTCTTTAATGAATAATTAAAAGTTTTTACCCCAAGTTGAAGGTTTAAAATTCTGATGTGAGAAAATGTATCAAATGCCTAGAACAAAACCAGCCCTTGACGGAATCAGAGTTTTGAATGGAAGACAGACACTTCTATCAATATTTACAACTTCTGTGATTAGTGCAGGAATGGCGATATAGACACGGTGGTGGCGAGAAGGAACATAGTAACAAAATAAAGGAAACGGAACAAACTCATGGAGTCTACCAAAGCGAGGGCAGTGATTTATTTTTAATAGTTGACATTTGACACTCATATTCCTTTGTGTGACACACTTACCTGGGCACCGCCACAGAATCCTCAGTTGTCATGAGACCTAATTGACCATCACTCCCGGCACCCCAAGAAAACAGCTGGCCCCGGTCACTGAGGGCCAGACTGTGGGACTCGCCACAGGCCACATGAATGATGTGCTGGTCTGCCAAAGCTCCAATTTGTTCTGAAAGAGATCAAAGCACAGGAAGGAGATGAGATGTCTCACCTGGAATCAGGTATGTTGATTTACTTCACGGGATTATCTTCCTAAGCACTAGGGGAAAAAAATGCAGGAACAGCACCCGTGCCCTAAGTTCAGACCTCGGGACCAGCATATACACAAGAAAAGAATTATCTTTTCTCTAATGAATATATGTTTTAGACAGCCTTGCTGAAAATCAGATGCCGGTACGCCATCATCACCCACTTCAAGGAGTAGCTAGCTGTTCCAGCCATTCTGGCACTATCTAGCAACTGGCAGGTGTCACTCAAATTCATGTATTTCTAAATGCTATCAATTTATATTCCAGCTGTAGTAGATAGACTGTATGCCTATCTGCAGACCCAGCTCAGGTGAGCCCTAAACCTACACAGCCACGTGCCCGGTGCTTCTCTATCCAGAGAGAAGTTTGCAGGTTTTCAAACACCACCACCCACAATATGATATATGCACAGTCCTCTGCAGTTCCCAATGCAGGAAAGCTCCTAGTGCCGGACTCTCCTCCAAGCGGCCCAAAGTTTCCCACAGTGGAACCAGGCTGTCTGGCCTCTCTGTATCTTGAAAGGGCTTCTTCCTAAACCTTCCAACTTATTTATTATTTATTTGTGTGTGTGTGTATATGTGTATTAATATAGTGGGGCTTGAACTAAGGGCCTCAAAGCTCTTGCTTGGCTTTTGTATTCAAAGCTGGTGCTCTACCACTTAAGCAACACCTCCACTTCAAACTATTTGCTGGTTAATTGGAGATAAATCTCATAGATTTTCCTGTCCAAGGTGATTTCCAACCACAATTCAGCCTCCTGGGTAGCTAGGATTGTAGATATAAGCCACCATTCCTCTCCAATTTCTTTTTTTTTTAATTTAATTTTATTTTATTTGTGAACATACTGTACCGAGGAGTTACAATTACATGGGCAGGATAATGCGTACATTTCTTACCAAGCATTGCAGCCTCCTCCTTTGTTTACCCTTCACATCCCTTCCCAGCCTCCCCCCTTCCTCTCCAATTTCTTAATTATTTTGGTCTAAACATTTTAGGAGGTCTGAGCTATCTCCCAAAGAGGAACTCTCTCTTGTTCCTGACCCACCAGAGTCAGGTTGAAAAAAAAAAAAACAGTCTACATTATCATACAATAAAACCATCTCCTTTCCTTGATACAAATTTTTAGTTTTTTGACCAGGTATCGGTGGCTCACGCCTAAAATCTTAGCTACTCAGAAGGCTGTGATCTGAGGATCAAGGTTCAAAGCCAGCCCAGGCAGGAAAGTCTGAGACTCTTATCTCCAATTAACCCAGAAACCATTGGAAATGGCACTGTGGTTCAAGTGGTAGAGCCCTTGCCTTGAGCTGAAGAGCTCAGGGACAGCACCCAGGACTAGAGTTCAAGCCCCACGACCAAAAAAAAAAAAAAAAAAAAAATTGTTTGGCATGTTAAGAAGGTACTCTACCAGTAAAGCCATGTCCATGTCCATGACGCATACAATTCTGTGATTTTAAACACATAAAACTACCACTACAAAACTGTCATTTGAGGATCTAACCTGGGCAGTAAAGTAGTGAGACTCTTAGCTCCAATTAACCAAGCAAAAAAGTTGGTAGTGGAGCTGTAACTCAAGTGGGACAGCACCAAGGCCCTGAATTCAAGACCCAGAACCAACACACACACACACACAACCACCACCACCACCACCAACAACAACCATTTCATCACGCTTAAAGTACCCCCCATGTTGTGCCATAATGTTTAATCTCTCATCTCCTGGCAACCACGCTTCTGTTTTCTATCACCATACTTTTTCAGTATTATCCCATAACTGAAACCTTATAGTATTTAACTTTTTGCTACCAAATTCTTACACTCAATATAATCCTCTGAGATTTAGTGAAGTTGCTATGTACAGCAGTGGTCTAGTCTTTTCTACCATATTTCACTGTCTATGAATAAACCATGTACATTCCCAGTGCTTAGTGATTATAAATAGAATAAAATGAACATTCACATATGGATTACATGGAAATAAATGTTCATATCAGTAGAGTTATAGAGGAGTGGGATGCTGGAGTAATAAGTGTATGTTTAATATTATTTTAAAGAATTAATACAGAGAACTGGCAAACTATTTTGCAGAATTGCTGTACCATTTTGTGTTCCTCCTAAATTCCTCTTTAATTTCTCTATTGTATGTGGATTGTTTTTTTTTTGTTTGTTTGTTTTGTTGTTTCTTCAGTCCTGGGGCTTGAACTCCGAGTCTTTTTTTTTTTGGATCCTGGGGCTTGAACTCTGGGCCTGGGCACTATCTCTTAGCTCTTCAGCTCAAGGCCAGTGCTCTACCACTTGAGTCACAGCACCACTTCCGGTTTTCTGATGTTTTATTGGAGTTAAGAGTCTCACGGACTTTTCTGCCCGGGCTGGCTTTGAACCATATTCTCAGATCTCAGCCTCCTGAGTAGCTAGGATTACAGGCATGAGCCACTGGCACCCAGCTTGAACTCAGAGCCTTTTGTGCTCAAGGCTAGCACTCTACAATTTAAGGTTTACTTCTAGCTTTTTGGTGGTTCATGGAGATGAGCCTCATGAACTTTCTTGCGCAGGCTGGCTACAAACTGTCATCTTCACATCTTACCCTCTTAAATAACTAGGATTACAGGCATGAGCCACCAGCACCCTGCTCATTATATATTTTGTTATATCCTTCACATGAAATTTTAAAGTGATTGCTCTAGGATTAAAACGCCAATATTTACCTTTTCAAAGTCTACTTAGACTCAATATATTATAAATTCAGGTAGAATATAGAACGCCACAACCATATAGTTACTCACCTTTCCTTGCTACATTAATCTTAAATATTACACCTACATGGTATAGTTTTTGCTTTCAATCATCAAAAAAAAAAAAAATCCTGTTTACCCAGGTACTATTTTGTTGCTCTTTTTCCTTTCTTCATGCTAACATTCTTTCTTATTTCATTACCCCTCTGTCTGAACAATTCTTATTACTAGCTACCACTTAGTAGATGTCTCTGGCTATGGATCTTCTGTCTTTTCCTTTACCTGTTTTGCCCTCATTTATACAGGTTGCTTTTGCTGGGTGCAGAGTTCTACTCTGAGACTTGCTTCAGTACTTTGAAAATGCTGTGTCACTTGCGATGGCCTCCTCCCAGACATGGAGCTTTCGTTTGCAGACATACAGTGTGATGTCTGCAGTGATCACATCAGCCAAGAACACATGTCTCAGAGCACATCCCCATCTGGAAGCAGAACATGACTGCAATCTCTCTATCTTTAGTTCCCAGAAGCCTGATTGTGATGCGTCTGGGTCTGGGTTTCTTTGAGTTTTATCATGAGTGAGCTCTCTGGGCCTCTAGAATGTGTGGGTTTATGTCTTCTACCAACCCAGCAAGCTCTGAGTCATTATCTTCCTCATCACATCCTTTGTCTTCTTCTGCTGAGACGCCAATGACATAAATACGGGACCTTCTGTTCGGGTCTCTGAGACCTGTTCGTATCCCCCAGTGTTTTTCATTCTCTCTTGTTTAAACCGTGTCATTTCTTTTCATCCATCCTCCAACTTCACCAATTCATCCTTCTATCACATGCAATCTTTCCTGAGGACATCCAGAGTGCTCTTTGTTTTAGCTGTTCTATACATTGTGCTTTATACCAGGTGTTTCTTTGTTGAGAAGCTCACATCTTTGTTCACAAGTGGTTGAACCAGCTCATTGGGACATGTGTTCAATAGCTACTTTAACATCTTTGTCGGGTAACTCCAACATCTATGTTTTCCCCCAGTGGCCTCCACTATCTCCTCCTCTGTGAGCTGAAATTTTCCTGAGCTTTTCAAATACTGGCTAGGTTTGCCTTGTCTCATAAGCATTTTTGAATGTTACATTGTAAGAATCTGGGTCTTCTTATTAAAACCACTTCTGGAGAGCTGACTGTGTGGTTTTCATGTTCACTGCCTCTGCAGGGCCCTCTGCCTGTGAATCTGGTAACCAGGAACACCAGTGGTCTGTCCGTTGGTGTGTGCTATAAAGAAAAAGATGCATGGACACGTGGCCCACGGGTGAGTGCAGGAACGCACAGGCGACTGTGTGCAATGGTTTTACAAGCTCTCTTCTCAGTACTGTCAGGCTTCCCAGGGCTCATCTGTAGTGCTACAGCTTACCTACTTCTGCAGCTGCACCAGCCCATGGGGACAACTGGCAAGAAGGTGGAGAGAGGAAGAAATGGTTACCACTGCTTGGCTGCCAATTTACTGGTGCTTTGAATTCTGGTCTTCTTCCTCAATTCATCTACCACTATTTCCATTTTAGAGATCAATAAACAATTGCTGCAGGCATTCTGTCTAGGTCTTGCAGTTGTACTCGGCAGGAGGCCCAGAAACAAATGCACTTGCATTTGGAAACTCAGAGCCAGATTTTAAAAACGCAACAACCATTTTTTTCCTTCCTGTTTCGTGGGATTTTCTTATTCATATCGGGAGAAATAAGTCCATAAATTATGTTCAACTTGGCTATATAAAGCAAATCAAAGGCAGAGCTTCCCTGCAAATGCTTCAGACACTGAGAGTGGGTTGCATCTTCCTATATGGTGACCAGCAGCTTTATTTCTGAAGGTGGGTGGTGAGGCTTTGGTGGTGAGCAGCCCGTGTTTTCAATTAGCTGAGCACATTTACTTGCTTAATTCCAAACAATCAGAACATCAAACCACTTAAACCAAAAAGTAAGAGATTAGTTGTAATAGTTCAGCTCAGGTAGCATTAATCCTAGACCTTACCACACACACACACACACACACACACACACACCATTTTAATCCTAGACCTTAACACACACACACACACACACACACACACAACTTAGATACTATGGAAAATGTTCCTGAGAATATTTCCTCTTAGAGCTGTAAGTCTAAACTTAATATGTGTGCTTGTAGATGCAGTAAGCTAGATTCCCCGGAGC